CCAGATAGGCGAAGAGACCCTTTCAGGACCAGAAAGGAACATTTCTGGGTTATCCATTGCAGATAAAACTTTACCGGTACTGGGGGATAGTCACGGTGTAACCAAGTGAGAAGACTGTACGTGAACCAGAGTTCGGTAAAGGTAGTCTCGGAAAAAAACGATAGTTAAATTGAGTTAAGGCGGTGACTGACCACGTTTTTCAGACGGCGAACAAGCTCCCGACTCCATAGGGCAATTCTGCTCTGATCGAGCGACGGGCCAAGAAGGCAACATTGAGGGATCGAGATGGGCACGGGGCACGGAGTAGACTCGAACAGTATCGATGCTAGTCAGTCCATCCGGGTGCTGACTCCGACCCACTACAAAACACAAGACAGAAAAAGTCAGACTATGAGAGAAAAAAATGCGCGAAGTGAAAATGTTAGGTTCATCGAACGCAAATGTGTGGCTGGGTCATGTCAAATAATCTTCAAACGGTTTAATCCATCAGGCAAAGAAGTTACAACAACTTGGCTAATATGCTCAACAGAATTTCAAGAAGTCTATGATAGGGGGTAGCGTGAATACATGGTCCGAAAATAGTTGTTTTAAAACAAACCTGAAAACAATGACAGAAGTTAAATCAATCAGCAAATATACAGGGGGCGACGTACGAAAATACAAACTGCAACTGACTTTTGAGAGCACATTTTCAGGCGAGACTTCAATAGTGCGATTATAATGTTTGGCACAGAAGCACACAAAAATACTCACCACAGAGATGGAGCGGTGTCTGTGGAATAAACATCTCCTCGAGGCAGAGAGGCAACTCCAACGTGCGCGATTTCGACTGCTTTCCCGACGAGGGTACATCGACCCGACGGCCAAAAATCTGAAAAGCAGAAAATACCTTGAGCATGGACGCAAAACAGGCAGGGGGTAGCCCGTCAGTAATAGGTTCAGCGAAAAGTCAACTAACCGAAAGGAAGCGTGGCCAACTGGATTCCTTGGTGTTGGCGTCTGCGGACAGTTCAATGACCAAGCCAACTATAACCTCGCTGCATGGCTTGGTATTGTCAATGTCCAGCACAAAAGCCACGTCCTCGGGGGCGAATTCGGTTGACTTGGCAATCTTTGTGGGCAGCGACTTGTGGGCTACGCTGTGACCTGCGCGGGTGACGGGACTACCCGCAGTGATCAACCGGTGACGCAGCAGATCCTGATTATAAATGCCCAGCAAATCCTTCCCACCGAAAGTAACCTGGTTGGCAGCAGAGGGAAAAAAAGGAGAAACAAGTGAGGGCAACAAATAGGTACGCATTGTTCATTTCGAATGGCACAAAAGACCAAGTCTTCGGTGACTTCT